GGGTCGAAATCATGAGAGTGCCTTCTCGTGAAAGACTTTGCCTCTTTTGGTTCAATGATCTCTCCCAACAACCCGAAATGGCAACATGGTAATTGCAAGATCTTAATCAACAATACAAAAACAGCGAATTTTGTTCTAGCTGCAACTTCTTCTGCCCAAACACAGAAAAGACTTGGACGTGGGGGTTAATCTCCGACGCAGAAACGCCCCGAAACTTTGCTGAATACGATCCTTAAAGTGTGCTGCCCAGCACATCTCGATACGAGTCGAAAGGCCATCCGGGTGTTTTGTCATCAAGGCAGACATGGTCATCACCTACACGTTCCGATAGGAGATTCAACGATTCATCAATACACTGGAGGAGCTTTGATGTCGCCTTCCTCAGTCTCTGAGCAGGACTCCGAATCTCGTGTACTTAGATTGGTGTGAGTACTCTCTAGCATCAAGTTCGCTGTCACCTGAATTTTCCCAATGCCACGCCATCTATCTGCAGCTCAGAGTACCTTACTTAGCAGGATGGAGGCTGGGATTTGATTGTAATGCGTACCTACGTGGCCTGCTTTTCTTGGTGTAAGCTAGGATGTAGTAAGAAAGCAACACTGGTTTTCCTTGAAGGGGGCGTCTGGTACCCATTATGCCGTGATGTCAGTCAATGATGAAATTTCACGTCCCTTGCCCAAAAACTTGTCGTCGTCTGCCTCTCATCATGTCTCAAGAGGAAATATCTATCTCTCAGCCCGACGTGCTTGCCTAGAGGAGGACAGCTTGATAGCAACCACTCAATCTAGAGGGTATAAATGGCCGCCGTATCAGCGCCCACACTTCGAACAAGACAAGGCATGACGATGTCTGAAGGCTTCGTACGCCGGATGGCCATGAGATTCTGTCGATGTCGCTCATATACAAGACCAGAGAAATTCTGCTGCCTCTACCTCCCAACTCACAGCGAACACTCCGCATTTCTATTCAACAGAAGCTCATTAGCCATGGAATATACCACGGATATCGGATCCTGCACAAGATGAAGCTACTCTATTTGCAGCGGGCATGGGAAAGAAGTATGATCTCGAAGCCCTTCTTCAAGCCGACCGCGAAGCCCATTGGGGATTTTTCAAAGAAGCGGGAACGACATTAAGCGACCTTTCCAGTCTGGTCAACCATTATTTCACTGAGCGCCCATGGGTGACCCGTTTGATACCAACCCCAGGTTCTACGATGGAGGTGATTTTCAATCGCGCTTTGCAATCTGTGCAATGAGACTACCTGTCCGTTCCAAGATCATCGTACGAAGGTCATATTATGCGCTTACACAACATGGGTCATACCGACTTGCCAGTTTTTCCTGTCCCCGAAACAAGTTACACATGGTTATCTTCAAGAAGCTGCTTTCCGTGGATTCAATGCCAGTAGTTTGGCAGTTGCTTTTGGGTGGCTGATCTCTCATATACAATGGTGGAAGGAGGAAAACGTCTTCAACTTTTGGCAGAACATACCTAGGTGCCTCATATCTCACTATTCGGCTTCCAGGACGATCAAGAAAGCAGCTTGTCATTTCGTCTATGTCAGATTCGCTGTGAATGCAGCTAGCGTTCATGACAGTTACACAGAGAGTGGGATTCATCCGGAAGGTGGATGGACGACAAGGGATGTAGCAGCGTCCGTCAAACCTCGTTCTAGTGCCGACAATCTACCTCCTTCTTGCTCCAGCTAGGTTTGGCAGAATAATAGAACGAGTTCGGTCTCTCTCGGATGTCGAGTTCGGCTCCCGATCTTCCGCAGCTGCTCCGGCGATCCCTATCCCAGACTATCTTGGCTGTGTAACAATGGGCCACCTACTTCAGCTCGACATGTAGGTAGGTATTAAACAGGGCGAGCAGCTATAATTGCTCACGAATAGCTTCGTATCTCACGGTGGCTTGGGTGCGGCTGGAGTTTAGACGCCTCTTTACCCCGCATAACATACGGCAGCTCGTAGGATGGGTCGCTCTTGCCATCCCGCCCTTGGATCAACGGTCACCTGTCTGCCGTTTTCTGCCTCATGCTTCCGCCACGCGAAAACTAAAGAGACAGTGGCACACATGAAATGCTCCGTAGCGCCAACAACTGTATGACCGTTTCCGGACAGTCACAACCACTACCGTGTCTCGGCTCCACGGACATGCCATGTGCGGCTGTTTCCGAATTATTGGAATCCCATCGTGAAAAGCTGATAGGCTTAGACTTTTAGCATCGCCTGATATCGAGAATTGAGCCATCCAATCAGGTGACACATGTCTTGGACCCTACAATGTTCAGGGTCGGGCCGCCGCAGGGTATTCAATATCAGATGGTGTCGGATGCGGAATTCTGAACCTCAGCTCTCTTCTTAGTGAGCTGCGGCTGATGAATAGTGCTCCATTATTGTAAGAATCCGTTGTTACTACTATATGATAACCAATGCTGGGCTACTATTCTGTAAACCGGCTCATGTCTCGCCCATTGAATCACACAGCTGAGGGCGGGTATGGATTGAGATTAAGGACAGTGGGCACAAAGGTCTGGTTTCCCCAATGTTCAAGACTGCTCGGAACGCAATATTTGGTATCAAGAGAATATTGCTGGAAATCCATCAAGTTTTTCTAGTAGGTAACATGTCCTAGCCAGGAAGAAAATCAAATTTCAAAAAAAAAACTTTCATTCCACAGCCCAACATAGAGCTTCACTTCCACAAGAAGCATTGGCGAGGAAGAGCCCCCGTCAACAACGAATATCAAGGTCCTGGAGCTGCAAGCTTTCATTCAGCTCATCCAGCAACCATCATACCGGAAACAGATTCCACTCCTCTCGCTGAGTCAAACGTGGCTGGCTGAAATGGCACGTCTATCGTTCTACGTATCCATCAAACAACTCTCGTAGGCCTGATGCTAGAGCAAGTAACAATATGAGGGTGCAGAGAACATAGCAACGACGTATAAAGGGAAGCCCTCTTCACCCTCAACTCCGACGTATCATCCTCCTCGAACACATCCTACATCACCAGTCTCCTCATCCCGCACAAACTCTGCCTCTACTCGAAATACAGAAATCATGCCTGGAGTCTACATTAAGAAGAATGGCCGCGTGCCCCACGAGTCCTTGGCTCGTCGCATTGGCGGATGGCTACCGTCAAACCCCCATCGGATTCAGAAACATGTCAGAGAGGTGCTCAAGAGAGCGAATGCCGCAAAGCTGCCCATCGTCCCTCCCATTGCCGACCTTCAGAATCTTCTCAACAACAGCGCCGTCGTCCGCATGCTCTTTACCGAGATGCTCAGCGAGGTCCCGGCCAAGTACACGACGTACCCCGGAGGCGCTCCCAACGCCGAGATCAGAACTCTCGACGATCTCGTTGCTGCTCTCAATTACCAGATTCAAAGTCCCATCCAATGGAACGATTCAGTTCAGATCGGCACTCCCATCAACGGCCTCCTGGACTGGCCCATGGCCACCGAGGCCGGCTTCGCGGCGTTCCTCCGAGACGACGTCAACAGCGTCTTCCAGGAAATGCTGAACTACTGGGGCACTTTCCTCAAGAGCACCGCTTCCGCCGTAACGATCACGACGGCAACAAACGGCTGGCTGTCGCCGCAGGCGCAGGCTTCAGGCGGCCTGATGAACTTCCTCACCACGTACCAGGCCCCCGACCCCCAGAACCCCACCACCTACGGCTTCACATCATGGGACCAGTTCTTCACCCGCCAGTTCCTGCCCGGTCTGCGGCCGTTGGCCTCGCCCGACGACGACAACGTCGTCGTCAGCGCCACCGAGTCGACGCCCTTCGAAATCCAACGCGGCGTTCAGCTCCAGGACACCTTCTGGGTCAAGAACCAAGACGAGCGCACCAATTACAGCCTCGCGGACATGCTGGGCGGCGCCGACGTCGCGCAGCAGTTCGTCGGCGGCACGGTCTACCAGGCCTTCCTGAGCGCGGACAGCTACCACAACTGGCACGCCCCCGTCTCTGGCAAGTACCTCAGCAGGCCCAAGATCATCAACGGGACGTACTACTCGGAGCCCATCATGTGGAGCTTCCACAACGACCAGGGCCAGTCCGACCCGGACCCGGGCTCGGACGAGCTCTCGCAGAGCTACATCTCCGCGGTCGCCAAGCGCGGCGTGGCCCTCATTCAGGCCGACAACCCGGCGATTGGTGTCATGGCGGTCGTCATGATCGGCATGGCCGAGGTCTCGTCGGTGGACTTCTTCGACATGCCCAACAACTCCTTCACGAAGGGCGACCCGATCGGATGCTTCCACTTTGGCGGGTCCACGCACTGCTTGATCTTCGGACCCAACGTCAAGATTGACTTTGCTGCAGATGCCGACCCGGTTGCGAACATCATGACTCCGGGCCCGCCTGTGAAGGTCCTGAGCCAGCTTGCTACTGTTACGCCTTCGAACTGAGTCAAGAGTTGGTGGACTTCGTAGCCCGATTCGCTTCTAAAGATAGGTCCGCTGGAAACCTATACTTCATGTCTGGTATTACTGTCCTCTTCAAGTCTGGAACTATTCCCGTAATTTTTAGCTCTAACAAATTAATTTTCTTCTTTATCGTAAGCCATTGTTTGATGCGAAGTAAACTTACGAGTGATAGTGCGTTCGCCTGAAGGTATAAGATAGGTTCAGATATTATACCGCTAAGGACCCCTTAACCACATGGTGAGCTAGCGTTTCCTTATGGCTGAGGCTGGTGTAATAAGATAGGTTGTAAGTCCCTAAATCACGGTAACATTCCAGTATCTTAAGCTGTAATCCTTCCCTCGAAAGCCAAAGAACGGATACTCGAGCATCCTTTCACTGATATCGGCATTTCTAAGGCATTGGGTCATAGATAGTATCCTGTATATAGGTAGTATATATATCATACATCTGATACAAAGATCAGGTCTCATGGCAAGTCTCATTCGCTCCCAAAAAAACAGAACACCTTTCCCTCCACACCTGCTCACGCTACGATTGCAATTGTCCTCAAAGAGGCAAATCTACAACTTGGACGGCTTGGGCGCCTTGGGTCTCTGAACCGGCGTCGCCAACGGGTCGTACACGGCACCCATAAGGTTGTCAGACGGCGTCGAGCCGTGGTTGAACAGACTCCGGGTATCGATAAGCGACGGGTTGAGCTGGTCGATACTCGTGCAACCAATAAGACGCATGTTCATCTCCATCTCGTCGCGGAGCAGCTGCATAGCGCGATCGACACCGTCGAAGCCGTAGCCGGCCATGGCGTACAGGAAAGGTCTGCCAATACCAACGCCCTTAGCGCCGAGGCACAGCGCCTTGATGATATCGGTAGCGCGACGGACACCGCCGTCAATGTAGATCTCAATCGCGTTCTCCAAGCCCATGCGACGGAGTACTGGCATCGTCTCGGCGAGGACCTCGATTCCGGACCGGGCAAAGTCGAGCTGACGGCCACCGTGGTTGGAGAGAACCACACCCTGGACGCCGGCTTCGATGGCCTTGATGACGTCCTCGACGCGCTGCACACCCTTCAGGATGATGGGCATGTTGGTGATGGACTTGAACCAGGGGATATCCTTCCATGACAGGGCGGGGTCGATAAAGGACGAAATGGCGCGGGCAGCACCCTGGCTCTGGTCGGTCGCCTGGCCCGATTGCACATTGGCACCCGGGTCAGTAAACTTGGACCGCATATCCTTCTCGCGACGACCCAGCTGCGGCGCGTCGACGGTGATGAAGAGGCCCTTGCAGCCGCGCGCCTCGGCGTGCTGCACAATCTTCTTTGTGATCTCACGGTCCTTGTTGACGTAGAGCTGCATCCACTGCACCTGGTCGCCCTCGGCGGCGTCCATGAGCTCGTCAAAGGAGCACGAGGCCAGCGTCGGGATCATCTGGATGACGTTGTGCTTGCGGGAGGCGCGGGTGAGGAGGACCTCGCCCTCGGGGTGGCCCAGCTTGCCGAGGGCGGTGGCGGTGACGTAGAAGGGCATGTCAACCTTTGCGCCGAGCATGGTGGTGGTGAAGTCTACCTTTTCGACGTCGACGAGGATCTGCGGCCGGAACCAGATTCTGTGGAAGGCACCGTGGTTTTCGCGCAATGTCTACAGGAAAGATCAGTTAGAAATCGTGTCTGGTCCTCTACTGGGTGCGATTCTTCGCGGTCGACCTACAATTTCGTCGTCGGCTGCACTCGAGTAGTATCCCCAAGCCGTCTTCTTCATGACTCTGCGCGCAACAGCCTCAAAGTCCATCAGGTTGTAACATTGGGAGAGCAGCGGCTTCTGCTCGACCCTCTCCAAGCGCTCAACCTCTTCGGGGTCCTCCTCCTTCTCCTCAGCCACTACAGAGGTCATGTCGACGGGGCCAAGGTGCTTAGACTGCTCGAGGTACTTGTCGAGGGTGTCGGGCGGGTGGATGGGGTCGAATTCTTCCGTCGCATCTTTGCCGGCGTACTTGAGGATGATTTTTGAGCCACCGGGGTGCTCTGAGGGTCGTCGTTAGCAGGGAAAGCGCTTGATGGGACCGTAGAAGAAGAACTTACCAGGCAAAAAGTCCGTCACATCGTAAGCTTTGCCCTGTTAGGTGGCCAATGTCAATTGCCTGCCAATTTACATAAAATCGACGCCTCATTATAACTTACGTGAACAATGACCCAGCAAGAGTCGGCACTGTTGTGCTTTGCGATATCGTCGCCCTTCAAACCCATTGTGCCTACTGTTCGCTGCGATTGTCGTTGTTCCGGACGAAAGGAAGAAGTTGATTTTTGGAGCTTTATCGACAGGTTGGAAATCTGGGGTAAAGGCCGACAAATAGGTAGATCTTTCTCCACGGGGTAGCGTCTGATTTATGGGTGGCTTGCTTGCTGGTCTAGTCGAATCCAAGGTATTTCAAATCAGAGGGACCGGGAATAGCACGATCTACAAACACCAATGACGGGCAAAAGTAGCAATGGAAGAGAAGCCGACGCAGATCTAGGGGCCGGAACCAAGAACAGAAAAAGATGTAGGTGTCGTCTCGCTAGTCAGTCCGAGAATCGGGACTCCAAAAAAAGTTCTTCTGGGTGGGAAACGTTGGGGGAGGTATCTTCTTGAAGGGGCCTTTGGGGGGGGAATTCGACTTGGAGAAAAGAGACGGTTGCCGGGGGGCGAAACCCATCAAAGGTCATCAGCTCGCTCTTCATTGTACCGTCGCAGACTGCCGCGCCCCACACTGGCTCCAGCGCAGCGCTAGGGGCCCATCTCGGGTCAATGGGGTGCGGGGTAATTTGTCGGTGACGTCCTCCACACTTGCACTTCCTCGGTGTAAACTGCTACCGGTCTCCATCCCGGGCTATCCCCGAAAGGCAATCCGTGCCCACCCACGCACCCGTCGCACACCCACGCGTTCATCGTGGGCAGCATGCCAGCGACAGCAACGCCAACCGCAATCTTTCGGCTTGGAACCCGCTGCTGATACGGATACTCGCGGCTACGCTTCCGAAGGTGGGTGCGGGATGGCCCTTCTTTATCTCAACTACACACGTGCATTTACGCCACTCGAGCCGTCAGCGTCAACTTAGTCTCCATCCAATCGTTCCTTTCGACCGGTACCGTGAAGTTCATCCCCTTAAATGCTCATCGTCACCGTTTCACGTGAATTGGAAGTCACATCAATCGTAAGCAGATACCTGCTTACTCATTCTCGACATGAAGCATCTCAACTTCAATCCCTGTTTATGATGGAAGTAGTCACTGGGTTGATAGGGAACCTCATGGGAAAAGTTGAGTAGGCTTTGTTCGATTGTACGCATCAGTGGTTAGAGCTCCTGGGTTGTAAGAAACTAAGCTGGCGTCTTCGCCGGTATATTCTTCGACAATGGTGCTCTGGTTGACTATAGTCACGAATGCTTGTACACTTGATCCCCAGAATACCACACATGCACTTTCACTTTCATGAGAGACTACTTTACACTGACTACTGGCTATCCCGAGCTATGGAACTTCCATGGCGCGCACTTCATGGCGTAGACCTTGCCTTAGTACGATCACTTATCAATCTACCACCAACAGTTATTGACTCAATCCACATCCACCAAGCAAAACTTAGCCCCAGACCTCTGCGTTCTACACTACGTCGTTTGGGACAAAACGGATTGTCTCCCGGAACTTTGATCTGCTAAGTGTTCGATTGAGGCAGAACCTTGAGCCCGTGGATTGCCGTTTCCGGCTTACCGCCCATTGCCCAGCCCCTCATAAGGATAGTCGCAATAAGTATCAGTAGCACCCCCAAGAGTAGGTTCCTGACCAGCGACCCTTGCTTTCTCCGCTTCTCAACCACTTGAGCATCAATCTTGTACCATTCCCAACTCTTGATCGTATGGTACTCGTCTCTCAAGATGGGCCTCGCGGGATCCGGCATGATGTCAGCCAGGTCGAGTTGTATCTTGAGGAACAGTTTGACAAGCCTGGCCACCAAAGGGTTAGGGTGCCCGGTGCGCTGTTGTTCTCGGACCTTGGGTGGCACGATGGTGAGGAACAGCTGTCGGCCGAACCATTGGAAATACCTGCCCGTTTGTGAGATATGCCATTGACATTATTGGAGGTGTTGAGTGAAATGTACCTTGGAAACCACAGTTCGGCGAATTGATCAACAACCCCCTTAGATATCACAGCCCCCTTTGCCCTTTCTTCTTCACTCGTATACTTATCAAACGGCAGCTCCCGATACCACTTGTGAAAAGCCTCGAGTTCCTTCCAGTCCCTTGGGAAATTCACCCCAAAGCTCCTCGATCCGTCCTCTGGCTCCGACCGAAAGTGCGCACACGCTCTCTCGGCCCACGCCGGCCACGCAGCCGCCAGCTTGGGGTGTATGTCCCTGACCCTCGCCCCGACAAGGTCCCTCAGGTACGTCTCAAAGTACGCCGACCCGATGAGCGACATCTGGCCTTCCCAGGGGTGACTAAACGTCCCCGGCGCGTTCTTCCACACACCGGCGTGGATTTTGTTGACCCTCTCGATGCCCTCGACGGCCTGCTCGGAGGCGCTACCGTACCACATCCAGTCGAGGAGCCGGTCCTGCGTCTCGTAGAAGCGCTGGTGACCGCGGCGGAAGAGCTTCCCGGTACTGTGGACTGCTGAGGCGCCCGCCGGCGTCTGCGTCAAGAGGATGAGGGTCGATGTGTAGCCCATGGCGATGGCGAAGCTGGAGCCGGTGAAGAAGGTTGAGGTCTGGATGATGCGGTCGTACTCGGTTTCTGGGTCGAGCTATGGCACGTCAATGAATTACTTCCAGCATATTCGGATCTTATTATTGCTTTTGCTGTCACCAACCTGGTCGAGATACGCCGATATCCACTTCCCTTTCCTCTCTGCCTCTGGTGGCCATTCTGGGACCGGCCTTTTGGGTTCTGCCGGTGGCCTTGGTTGTCGTGGATGAGCTTCAAATTGACTTATGCTATCGGTTCCAGGAGGGAGATTATCGTTGAGATCAAGCTTATAGAAGCTCCTCTCGCGGTTTCTCAAAACGGATTTCTCGTCCATGACAACTGGCTAGGACGATCGAAGCTGATGTGCGGTAATTCTCAGTTACAAATCTTTTTTTTCCTCTCTCAGAAAAGTTCTTGTCGCGAAATTGTCAACTTTGGTCTCGAATGCGAATCTAATACACCGGTATTTGTATTCATATCCAATGTTCTGTACGTATGCAAATTCCGAGAAACCAGTTCATTCCGAAATCCTTGCCTCCCGTGATACAGGCGAAAGTTTCCCCATGGGAAGACACGAGGCATCTTTGTCCTTATTTTTGTGTGAGAACTTCTTGTTACAACAGAAACTCGATGGCCAGTTTGAGGGCAACGCACGATGTTGGCTTGGTCGAGGTGGCTTGACATGGGATGAAAAGCGAGCCAAGGCCGCGGGATGACCCTGCGGCAAGTACTTCGGCAGCCTGACAACGGCAAAGAACAGTCCCCAAGAGCCCGTACGCCGCTTAGTGTGCGGTCGCCTGAAGATCGCTTCCTAGTCTGCCCAAACTGCTTACCTTTCTGGAAGGTAGAGTGCGGAACCTTTAAAACTCCGGCAGAACCAGACTCTCGGTGGTGACCAACCATGTAGTGCCATAATGAGATATGTACGATGAACAGTTCGTAGATTACATCGACCTAGTTGCAAATACAAACGTTTTGGAACCATTCAATCAGTCAATCGTTTGGCTCGGAAGCAACTTGCATCCGGGCATTGCTAATATGGTGATTGATTATATATATACGACGTACACTCTTCCGGTTTCTTCTAGGTTGCATTATGGCAGGTCTTAATCATGGCTTGTTAGCCACATATTTTAATACTTTGTAATAAAGCCTGTAGTTGCGATCATGAGTAGACGTTGATCTAACCCCAGGAGAAACATCCAAGGAAGTGTGGCAAAGACGGCCGACCTTACCGACTAATGAATTACAAGATACAATCCATACCTAGTGACATCCATAACCACAAATCTTGTCACCAAAAAAAGCCAACTATTAAAATATACCACCTGGCTTGTCCATGTTTTCCAGGAAAAGGATTCGCACATGTCAGGCGATCAGCCCATGGGCCCAGGGTACTCTGCAGGGCCATCCCACAGTACATTTGCAACTTAATTCTGCCCAGAGCGGCAAAGCGGTCAGATCTCAGATGCAACCAAGCGAGAGCTGAAGATAGAGAAACTATATCCATGGCCTCATTCGCGGGAAGGGGGGATGAAGGGGGCATAACACTTAGCCTGAGCTTCAAAGGTTGCGGGGGTCTGTTGGACACCTCGACTTAAGGCCCAATCAGTGCAACCTGTTCGAGTCCATCTACAGATGCAGGTCTTGACTGTTGGGGCCTGAGCGGCTCGGTCGAACTTTTGATAGGGTCTTGGAGAGGACCTGACCCGTCAGACCTGAATATTCCATGAGCAACAGACTCAGTAGATGCAGCCCAGGCTGCATGGAAAATTAGAAACGGACAGCTGCAGGAACTTCGACTTAAGGGGGGAACGGGGTAAAGGGGTTAGCATCTGACCATGCATTCTTTTCGTCCTGACGTTTTTCAATCAACACATCCTCCTTCTGAATTGCTTCTTTCCAAACTTGTGACTTATAAAGAGGCATCCTTCACTGCGGTATGACCGACTCCCGCCAATCCGACGGCGGTTGCCTCTCCGCCTTATGCTCTTGCTTCAAGAGACGAGAGAAGCCGCGCCATGATGTTTCCGGGTCTCCTGCGACCGGTGTTGACGTCCTACCAGCGTCAAAACCGGCTGACGATGGAAAGCCTGAGCCTACAGACCCCGAGGTCGTACGTCGGGATCCAGTACCAGGCGTCCCACATACGACATCATCTACTGGTAATGCGGGTGACCCGTCACTCCTTCCTGCTTCCAACGTTCCAGGACCATCTGCAATGAACGTCTCTCCTCCGACCGTTGATTTATGGCAGGAAGCATGCAAGGAGGTGGACGAAAAAACTCGGACATGGATCGCCAGTCTTCCTCCACCAGTCAATGCCCAAGATCCTGCAAGTGAGCTGGCGGAGCTCGTTCGCACTAGCGAAAAGGAACATAAGCAAGAGGCGCTGAAGCTCAAATTCGGCGACCGGGAGAAGTTGTGGAGGGATTATGCGAATAAAGTCATCCCTGTGGTGACTGCAATTGGAGATATTGCTATCAACTTTGCCCCTGCGCCCTCTAACGTCGTGTGGTCAGCTGTCAAGGTGCTTCTGACGGTATGTATTGCAGTAAAGTATGAAAATACTTTTGTTAACACTATGATCTAATGATCTTGCAGGCCCACGTCTCTGAGCGCGAGGATCTCGTGGCTATTATGGGATGCACCGATATAGTCCTCTGCCTCGTGAGGCGTGGTCGAGTGTACGAGGAGGTCTACATTGGTGACTCCATGCCGCCTAGGCCACTATATGAGGAAAATTTGGCGACGAAGTTGGTTGAGGTATACACGAAATGCTTGGAGTTTCTTGCTTTTGTCCACGAAGAGATAAAGCATGGCGTTTCACGCCGATTCTTTAGCACGCTCGTCGACCCAGGCTATGGCCGAAACCGTCTATCAACAGTGAAAGCACTTGAGCAGGAACTTGAGCTTGCAACTAGTCCTTTCAAGATCAACGCAGACGATAAGCATCGAAGACTACTTGAAAGTCTTGAAGAACCGATTAAGCGTACTGACAAGAATGTCATGGATATTCTTAAGGTGCTTGATGAGCAAGAAAGAGATAAGGCTATGGAATACGTTAGTGACATTCTAGTCGGATCTCATCACAATGAGAAGGTCGAAAAAAGAACTAAGGGTACATGCGAATGGTTGGTTAGCCATTCTGAATTCCTTAAATGGGAAGCCTCTGACTGTACTCCGGTGTTCTGGTTACAAGGTAATAGTAAGTATTAAGACTCGAAGGCTGTTATGTGTAATAACAAACTGACCATAGTTCTGTTCTGCAGTCGGTACAGGAAAATCATTCTTATCTTCGAAAGTGATTGATCATTATCGAATTCAGAAAACATTTCCCAGCCAATCGCCCAGTCAGCCCAGCCTGGGCTTCGCCTATTTCTACTGCAACAGCTCTGATCAGAATCGGCAAAGCATTCGATCCATTCTCCGAAGCTACATCCGACAACTGGGCGAGGTGGCCGGTTATCCTGGGGGCATTCATGAGACATTGTTCAATATATACCAAAAGAGAGATATTCAAAGCGATATCACGCTCCAAAATTGCGAGACAGCGTTGGTCGAGATGATAAACAGTTACCCTCGAACTGTTCTGGTACTCGACGCCTTGGATGAGTGCAAGAAAGACACGAGACGCCACATTATTGAGCTCTTCGAACATCTGGTAGAGGAAACCAAAAGTTGTCTGAAGATATTTATTGCCAGCCGTCCAGAACACGACATTGGTCGCTATCTGAGGCCATTCCAAGAGCTGAGGACGACGATTACAATCAACACTTCTGATAATCAGGCCGACATCGAGAAGTTTGTTAACACAGAGGTGGACAACTTCACTGTGGATTGGAGCCCTGAAACTAAAAAGGAAGTTAAAAAGAAGCTTATGGAGAAGAGCGCAGGAATGTGAGTTCCAGCTCACACACTATCCTTACCTACTCAAGCTGACTGAGATAAATTAGGTTCAGATGGACTTACCTGCAATGGGAACAGCTGAAGGAGTTCGACACCAATACCAGTGTCATAGCCAGACTTGGGAGACTTCCCAAAACTCTGACTAAAGCCTACGACGAGATTTACGATAAACACGAACCTGAGAGCTTTGAGCGTTTCATGCTGCAGCGAGCGGTGAGATGGGTCATGTGCGTCCGAGAGCCGTTCGACAGTTGCAAATTGCTGTCAGCCATTCGAGTGGAAAGTGAAAAGATGCGTGGAGACGGCATGAAGGCTGTCGACAAGTCAGATCTCACCGAGAAAATGTTGGAGACTGTCTGCCGACATTTGATCGTGAGGGACCCAGATCTCAATGTCTGGAGGTTTTCCCATGCATCGGTCAGAGAATACTTCGAAGATAAGAAGAAAGAGCCGTGGGTCAAAGACGCGCCAGCGGAGGTAGCAATTATCTTGATTAACTGCTTGAGAGATTGCTGCGCAGCTTACTGCTCTATCTGGCCACCCTCAAGTTTGGAAACGTCCAGGTCAAGAGATCTCTGGCGAAGACCAAGCAAAGAGCTTCGCCGTTGGATGAGGGCAGGAGGGGCGGACCTTGACCAGCCTTTAGATCCTCGGCATCCACTCCAAGAGTACATTCAATTGAACTGGCTCACACACATCCACGATCTTTCAGAAGATGATAGAGTTGAAGACGTAGCCCTCGCTTTGAAACGATTCCTGGGTGAAGAACGACCTCCGCATTCTACGAGGGAGTATCAGGTATTTTGCAACCGCGTCATGGAGGGTACTAAATGGAACTACTACGGAACCATATGGTTTACGGTCCGGCCAAGCACCAACTTCGCCTTTGGCGTTGTGGCAATGGGTCTTCATCGGCTCCTGCCTGAGTGGTGGAATGAAGGCCTCGACCTTCCCTCATTGGTAAATAAGGGTGGCTTGAGTCTGCTGCAAATTGCCACCTATCATGGCCACTACGACGTCTGTCAATTCCTCATCAGTCGGGAATGTGACATCAACTTTGTTGGCAACGGAGGCATAGGCTCTCCACTATGGATATCACTACACCACCGGAAAATTGATGTCATGAAGCTGCTCCTCAAGAACGATGCAAACATGGACTGCGTCCTCGAAGGCACAACTCTGGCTTGCCTTGCAGCGGGAAATGGATCTGAGTACTGCACCACTCTACTAAAGAAAGGCCTGGATCCCAACGCGAAGTGTAATGCCGATTGTACCGATGATATCGATGCTATATGGGAGTGCGAATTCGGTTGTGCCCTGTCGATGGCTGCTAGTAAGGGCGATCTCGACACCATAAAAGCCCTGATTGGCAAGGGAGCAGAAGTCAATCCGGAGAACCTCAAAGACGGCGATGGAAGCCCTTTGGCTTCTGCCGTATCCCGTGGCCGTTTTGAAAGTGCTCGCTTTCTTTTGGAAAACGGTGCAAATGTCAACGACCAGTTCAGATACGGGAACTATGGCTGTCCTTTGATTGCTGCTATATGCAGTAGGGAGCCCGAATGTGTCCGCCTTCTCCTAGAGCACAAAGCCGATGTCAACGCCACGCCGGAAGCTGGTAGATATGGCAGCCCCTTGGCAGCTGCTGTATCGATGAGAGACATGAATTGTGCTCGCATCTTGATTGAACTTGGCGCTGACACCAACGCAGATTTGAGGGCTGGAATATATGGCAGCCCCTTGGCAGCTGCTGTATCGATGGGAGAAATGGACCGTGTTCAGTTACTGATTCAACACGGCGCTGAAGTCAATGCATATCTGGAGTTCGGAAACTATGGCAGTATTCTGGCTGCTGCAATTCTCGGGCGTCCCTGGCATGAGCAGTCTCTGTCTATGATCAAGTTTCTTGTTGAAGAAGCAGAGGCGGATTTGGCTCAGCTTACCTTTGTACGGCCTAGAAGAAAGGAATTCGAAAACAGGACAACAAGGGAAAAGCGACGCGGAAGTATCGACGGGGCAATGAGGCAAAGAATTAGATATAAGGATCGGCAAGTCGAGATGGATGTGGCAGCGTATCTAATACAGGAGCTCCGGATAGAGAGGCAGCTGTTGATCAGCCTCGGTGTTCTCCCAAGGGATTTGCCACCCAATACAGTTACTACGGCCGACATGGAGTATGAAGAGTTGGATTGGCATGATTTAGATGCTGAGCGGAAACATCATGAAAGGCACGGAGGGTTTGAACCCGTGTGACGATGACTGCTGGACGCGCTCCATCGCACGCAAGACCGTTTGGAGTTGGTTTGTGGGTGGAATAATAGATCTCACTAGAATATTGAATCTCACTGGAATCTCAGGCGCCGAATTTAAAAATTCGACCTGAAACATTTCCGCGGTAGAAGTCTAGCTGGGGGAGACTAAGTTAGGATAGTTAAGTAGTAAAGTACAACAGATGGAGTAAGTTTCGACGTTTGTTGTAGGGAAAAACTTGGTTAGAAACTTACCGAAAGCTTTCTATGATATACGTGAATGAGACTGCAGTGTTGCTTTGAAAGCTGTTGGAGAAAAAGTCCCTTACTGGCTTAATCAATCAGATGGCCGGAAGCTGAAGCCAAACCTTGTGCACAGTACCGTTCAGCTTGACGGAGGTCCCCGTTCCAGTCGTGTCTAGATTGAACTCCCAATCACTAGGCTCAACTCTGTACCCTTCAATAGGACTTTTCAAAGTCAGTGCCTGTTAATAGGAAGATAGACTTAAGAGATCTGCGGTATCAGATACTAGTAGGCATGAGAGGATACGTGAGGGCCAAGGTTGTGGGAAAAAGCACTTACGGCAGCAAGAGCTGCAGTAGAGAGTACAGCTGTAGCAATCGTATTACACATCTTTATATGGATGATATCACTGTGTATTAATCTCTTTCTTCAAATCACATATCGCGAACTGCGCAGCCTACGCTCAGGGTCAGGCTGGAAAAGCCTCGCAATTCTTTACTCAGGAATCATTCTCGGTTCTTCGGACACCACGAGACTCTCCTTAAGTGGCATTTGGACCGGCTGTGCCTTTTTTCAGAAACTTACATGCGGTCTGACCTGGTGTTAGTCATAATGGAATTCGGATCGAGTTTGCTGACCATAATACTGAAATCCAGTTTTAGGGTCCTTTGTAGTCCAGCGCCAAGACTTTGTTGAAGAACAACGACCAACGGGGAGCAACCAACAACCAACGAACAACTCTTTACACGAGGGGTTCCAATTGGACCGCATATAAGGCTGTGGATTATATCAACCGATTATCGTATCCATCGGCCCTTTTGAGGGTTTCAACAGGGTCACCAACTCCGTAAGCCCAAATCTGGAAACCAGTTCTTGAGGCGACCCAGACTCTCTTCATGGTCTTGGTATCTGCTCGCTTTCCCCAGGATCATTAGCTGCCTGATCATGTCCAAGTCATGAGCCCGTGGATAGACGTGTTCATACAGTGAAAGGTGAAACTCGGTCAATTTATAGGCAGGGATGGGTATCATCTCCAAGTCATCTTAGGTATGCAAGCTTTCTAAAGTGTATGTCTTGGTCTCCATCTATGTCAATGCAATACGAGTCAAAAGATATTGCAGATTCAGTTTAGGTTACTGTACCCGTCAAGTGATTTCGACTTCATCTCTTGATGGTGAATGGGTGATCATACCCTTGCACCGTTCGTGGACTTATACGGACTACGCTTGCAATCACTTCAAGGGTTTATCCCCCAGGAAATAAGCTTGTTTGGGCAGGTGAGTAGTTTATTTGGGTGGGGTAATGTGAGGCAACGGTTCCATATCCTACAACTGGTTAGATCGATGCAACTCAATTCTCATGTGTCAGAGGCTCAAGAGGGCTCACCAGATGCATAAGGAGCAGCGACTGCACCGGTTTCCAACGACTCAGGCAGACGTTTGTACATTGATTCCATCACTTCATCTTTCAGCTGCCTTTCATCACTAAACGTATTATCTCCTATCCTCTCACTCACACCAAGTTCCTCTCAAAAAGTCCAGCCAAAATCCTCGCCCAACTCAGTTCGCCATGTTCTCTCGCCTCTCCAAAACCGACAGCACCAAACCTCTAATCGACAACGACTCCGCAAGCGAGTCCCAGACTAGCTCCAGCCCAAAGAAATCTCTATACCGCAAATTCCAAGACTCCAAGAGAGGAGAAATCTCAGACGCCGACGTCCTAAAGTACACGGGCATGAGCAAAGATACCCTAAACGGGTGGGCGGCCGATCGTCCCGGTGTAGGCGGAAACAGGGCAGCGGGGAGCATCACGACCGGTAGCCCGTCGGGTCTGGGTGGTATGATGACTGAGACCGGTTACGGCGGCTGGGGTACGGATTCGAATAGCACCCCAAAGCTCCCACGCACGACAAAGTCCGAGAATCAAGAGTCCAACGACGAAGCGGCTGGGGTTGTAGCTAAGAACTGAACACATAGACGGTATCATTGGATAGATATGAAGGCTTGCAATAGGAAAGGGCCACCAAACTCCCTTTCGCAGTCTCCTACCGCATCTCAACCAATCCACCACGATGCCATAGACACTTCAGGTGCTACTCCTACCCTCTCCTCACACTCTAGCCTACCATAGACCGTCGTCAGAACCTCTGCTCTGCTAGACGTAAAGAAGAGGCGCTGATTCATCGCTCTATCCATCCACTCATCATGAGCCACCTTACCTCACTTGTAGGCAGGTACCTCACCGACCGCACCTTCCCCCAGAATACACAACAATCCCATATATTACCCCCTCACCTCCATTCCAGCCACCAGCCAGCAGGCGCCCCCTTGGGGGTCAGGCCAAAACTGGCTGGTTGGTGGAGTGGTTGAACTCCACGAACAGCCTAATCGGTGAAGGCTCAGAGGTCCCGTGTTCGAGTCCCAGCATGAGCACCAGAGATGTAGTCCCCATTCGCCACCGGGGGAGGGGGGGGGGGGGGTTGAACTCTTGTTTTTTTTTTTGGCATTTCTAGTGATTGATTCTAATGGAGAAGTTAACTCAAAGAGTGGACTGGGCATATATACCATTCCAGGGACTCAAAGCGATGGAAACCTACCTCAGACTATCTAGATAGTCCGTCACATCAATGAGTGGGAGACAGGCGCCTTATGCAATTGTGGTCATTTGGTCTATTTATAAGCCGCTCTCCACCCTTGTTCGGCTTTTTCTCCTTTCAACATGTCTTGCAAGTTTGTTGTACCTCCTTGCAAGCTTTGACACGCCCTGGGCCTACTCAAACCATTGATTTTGTGGTACCACTTTGCCTGGAACCAATACTCACTTGCTCACATCAGATGTTGAGCAGCTACTAAACTCTCAGTTGCGTGCTTCGCGCAAAAGTTACCACCCCCTGAAGTGTTGTCTACGTCCTCAACTTTCGACTCATCATTTCCAACCACTCTTATTTCCAGTTATTCAATCCCGCCCAAGGATCACTGTTCTGTTGTGGCTGAGCTGAGCGTGGGTGCGCACTCGAGGGGTAGGCACTTTGAGGGTTTTGCTGTGAGTAGTTTTGTTGCTGCTGCTGCTGCTGTTGGTAATCCTGCTGACCGTAGAAAGTCTGCTGAGGGCCCAGTGGCGGAGGACCAGGAGGTGGAGGCGGCGGAACGAACCCGGCAGGCATTTGTTGCTGTTGTTGCTGTGGGTTAGGGAAACTGCCGTATTGCTGATTTTGATTGAATGAGGTCTGCGTTGGCGGGGGCGAAGCCGGGCCTCGCAAGACAGTTGGACCGAACGTGGACTGGTGGGGAGGCGGTGATGTTGGGCCGGGAGTGCGGCCGTACTGACTCGGATTGTATGCTGGCTGGCCGTATGTATTCGCCGGCTGAGGCGTGTAAGACTGTGAGGTGGGAGGGGCGGCGAAGCTCGGGTATTGCTGCTGGTTCGGAGGCGGAGACTGAGGGACTTGGTACTGACCCGAAAAGTTGGTCTGGGGGTATCGCGGGGTCGAGTTGTTGGCGAAATTCAAAGGCGACGGCGTTGGCCGGTTCGAGGCAGGCTTGGGCGACGGAGCAGGAGGCTCCATTGACATACGCTCCATCAAGCCCCTCAGACGCTCGCGCTCCAGCTCAGCATGTGCGTCTTTACGGGTCGATCGCTCCTGCTCAATGCTGTTGAGAAGCTGAGCCCCCTCAGATCGCCTATTGTTGACAAACGTGTCGACGTTCTTCTCGAGGCTTTGTACAGTCTCCTTCATCTCGGCATACCAAGTCTTGGCACCTTGAAGACCAGCCTCCAGGTCGAGGAACTCCTGGTACGCCCGTTTGTACTTGTTCATGACCGATGTCCTTTGGCGTTGCACTGTCTCGTACTTGCTCTGCTCCGAACGGACTCGCTTGTCCTGCAGCAGCGTGTTGAAGCTGGTCGTCAAGTCCTTCATCAAGGCGGACTGCTTGTGATTTGCCTGGAGCAGTCTGTTCTGGTACGGCCGGAACTTTTCCAATTCTGACTGGAAGAGTTGGTTCTCGTAATTTGTTATCGACTTTTTGTTCAAGATCAAAATTTCCGAAATGTCGTCATTGTGAACCTGCGGAAATTAGTGCATTGTTCGACGTTTTGTAAGGACTTCAAGGGACAAACCTTTTCCTTGAGGTCTTTCAACACTTGATTGCGTTCCCTCTTGATCAGGTTCAACTTCTTCATGATCTCTTCCACTTTGTGGATTTGATCAACGACACTCGGGCCCCCTTCGTCAAAATCGACATCCAGCAGGTTTGGCTCGTTGCCCAAAGGGCTCGTAACATTGCTCGATTTTCCGCGCACTTTGCTGACGGCATGTTGAAACAGGGACTCGATACTTCTGTGGGAAGCAGCCGCCCTCATCTCCTCGAACTCGACTTCGTTTTGCCTGAGTTTTGCCGCCAGCTGATTGTCGCTTCTCGCTGCCTCTTCCAACGCTTCTCGGTAGTTCCTGATATCGCTTCGCAGGGTTGATGTTAATCTCGAACTCGGTTGCTGGGTCCATTCGTTCTCGTATTTGGAACGCATCTTCTCGCACACACTCTCTTCCATATCCAGTTGTTTCGTGTTCTTATCCAGTGTGTTCACAATGATATCCTTGTCGGATCTCAAGATGTCGAAAATGGCGGCGGGATCTTCATGCCCCGCAACATCCTCACACCAGGTCCTGAACTCTTCATCTGGCATGATTTCTTGATCAAAACCACCTTTGAGAACCTGCAGAGCGCCGGGGAGCCTCAGGTAGTCCAGACTTGCTGCCATTTCGCTGTTCGCCGTGTCCACTCGTTCCGTCTCAGCTCTGATCAACTTGGCCTTCTCCTCATCGTAAAGACTGGCTGATTCCGTCACAGCCAGGGGCACAATCTTGGAGAAAAGGTCAGGTCCGGTAATGCGCTGGATATCTTGGCCGGCATAGAGCTCGCTGACAGGGATTGGTTTCGACGCAGGAAGCTTCGGGACGGGCGGAAGGCTGGCCTCTGCAGGTACGGTTTGATGGTAGATGAAATCGTTATCCTTGCTGAACTCCTTCAGTTTGTCCTGAACAGTCGACAGATGCCGTTTACTAAACTCGACCAAAAGCCCTCCAGTCTCGGCGCCGAGGTTCGAGCTCGGGGGTACTGAGTTTGGAAAATTGGCGGCGATGCGGCTTGCCTCCTTGCCCTGGGTTTCTGCAGCTTGAAGTCGAGCAACAGCAGTTCCGTGTTGACCAGCTTCGTCGTCGGCGAGAGCCTGATAGTATTGCGACATGGAGCTCAGGAGGTTGAATTTGACCTAGGTCTGTTAGCATAGCCACAGCATATTGTTATAAACCACCTCTGGTAGAAGTGGTGGGATGCAATGGGCTAGCAATCCTGACCTGAACCATGAGAAGCCAGACTTTCTCAAAGATGGCTCTATTGAAGTTGTCCTGGACACCCTCAACAGCTTGCCCGTACAAGTACGCTGCCTGGCTGGAGAGCTTGGCCAACAGTGCCACCTTCTTCTGATCCGCCACTTGTTTCTCTAGGAAAACCTCTTGGGCCTGTGCCAACATGATTGAAATGAGAGTTTTGACGGTCTCGCGGCTAAGATCGGACGAAGGTGCGTGGAGAAAGTTCTCGTTGATGTAAGTGAACATGCCGGCGGAGGCTTGAAAGGAGTGGTACGCGGCTTTGAGGCCTGACTCTTCGGATCTCGTTTGGTGGGCGGCGTGACATGACAGGACGGCGGAGATGTTGAATATTATGGAAGCCTTTTCGAAGGCGAGCGAATATTGGGCCGTCGACTTATGTGTAAAGGCATCGAACCTGCAAAGCACTAGGTGTCAGTATGGTTGAACGGCGCGTTGGGCCGCGAGACGCGGCAGGCAGGGATAGCGGAAGAGATACCAGGTGAAGGAGATCTTGATGTGTTGCTCATCAACAGGAAAGCGCAAGTCGAGAAGCTCGAGCTGGCCATAGTATCTGTAGAGCATATCGCGACCCGAGGTGCTGTCCTTGCCGGCGCCCCTCACGTCCTGTCGCAGACGATTGAGGGTGGCGCACTCCTCGGCATAGCGTTCAGGATCATCGCCGTATGTGTCTCTGATGTAGTCCTTCAGCGGGGTGACCCAGTCGATTTCGTTTGTGGCCTTGAGAGGCGAGGATATCATGGGCGACTGCGTCATTTTGAAAGAGGGCGACGAGGCCAGCTCCGGAGACGAGGTTTCGGCCCGGGGGAATCGCGGGGATGTCGCGGGGGACAGTGAATCGCAGTCGGAGGGGTGGTTTGCTGTGATGGGCAGCCTCGTTCAAATGTCTTGATGATTGGGTGGCATACGGGGCCTCGTCAGAGGTGGCCTTGGGAAGAAAAAGCGACGGGCTGGAGGTGGACGGATGCAGCTCTCCGGTCAGGTCGCTGGACAGGTTGCTGGTTGCTGTCTGTCTTGCCGTGGCGGGCGGAGTGCGGGGTGGGGGCGGGCAGCGACGATTGAAGGAGCCCAGAATGGTAGCAGCTCAGTCGGGTGCAGTCGAGAGTCAGTGCACCCAAGCTCGATCGCGTGTACGTACTTCCGACCCTCTGTCAACCTAATAGGTAGTACCTAAGGTAAGTCAGGCCAGGCCAGGCCAGGTCAGGTACCCGACTAGAGTGGACCCAGTGTGAGTACCTTACGTATGTTCGGTTGCTGGTGGATAGAGAGGCAGACCCGGTTTGTGGTGCCGCTGGCTGCTGGTTGATGGAGAAGGATGCCCGCCGTGGTCGGGTAGTTGCTCTCGGCGGTGCTGATGGCGCTGGCTGTGGTCGGGTGGGTTGCTGTTCTGCGGCCGTCCTTAAGTTTTGGTGCCTGTTCAGGATGAGGTGCAGGTTGGGTGAAGGGTGTTGGTGTGGTAGTACGGCAGTTTGCGACAAATTGTCTTGCAAAAGCGGCAATAATATCGTTGTTTTCCTTCCTATTTCTTTCTTTCTTCCTCTCCGGCTATTGCTTGCGAAGAAATGTACCAGACTCGTGTTCCTGTGAGGTCATAATGCTGGGGGACCTAGTTTGATGAGGGACTGTCGGTAATTTAGACAGAGGGTCTATGTAAAGAGGAGCTTCATGGGAAGGGCGGGGCAGCTGTCGTCTTGTCCGAGATGGCTCGGCGTCGTCAGGCGTCTCGTTTTCGTCTTCAAACACCTAAACACACCAGGTTGCGCCTCTGGCGGTGGCGGTTCCAGACTGTTGGTGATATATGCTTGGTTGACGAAGCGCCCACGCCTCGGAGATTGGAGGCGATTAAATGTCTGCGCCGTCTCTTTATTCGTCGCCGTGGTCTTGTTGCACTGCTCGGCTTAGCCTCGTGTGAGTGGTGTTGACGTTGGCGCATAACGTGTACCTCACGAATACTGGGAGAAGATGCGTTGGGCTGTCTTACGTAGCCGCCAGGCAGTAAGAATTGTCCACTATGAGCCGGGGATGTTCCTGGCTTTTTGGCGGGGGGCCTAGACGAGGGTACGAACCTGTCTGTCGCACTTGACTCACATGGAAGTGAACTGTGAAGATTCCACGTAACGGAGTCGACTCTCTTTTCCTCTTCCTCTTTGGTGACTTTTCTCTTAGTACCTTAGGCAACTCCTTACACTTCCATTGCTTCAACCCGAGTCACAGCACCTCACATAGGGCGAATAGTGGCGGCTATCCATGATCCGTCAGTTCACCAGACAATTCAGCCGTAGCCAGGCGCTCTCAACCTACTCTCGATCGGGCATCTATCTACATCTAGCTAAACGCGCCTATCCCAACTCTCTGGTGCCAATATCACAAAGTAACGTCAACCACGATGAGACCACTTAGGATCCTAGGTATGTAGCTTTTTCTTCGGGCTCTAGTCGACTCACCGTACGTCAGGTTACCTCGCCTATCGCGTCGACATGCCCAGATGGCCTATCCCTCATCTCTGGCGGGATCACAGTGAGACGTTGCCCAATGCAACTCTCCTCCGTCTCTCGCATGCGGCCTCACCCCACCCCCGATAGTCTGCTCTGAACACCTCGACCCAGCTAGCTCTGGCATGGCCGTCTCGTGATATCCATGTGGTTCCGTTCAGTTCCACCTTGGCCAGACCGCACCTTCGGCTCATCACGGTACCATCGATGCTTACATGTACGTTCCGACGCCTTCTGCATGTCAGCAATTCTCTTCTTTACCGACAGAGATGATCTGACTATTACAAGTGAGCGGAACGAATTCACCCACACTTCTTCACCTCAACCGAGCGGGAACCTGAAGATGCGCTACAGATACTCGACGGAAGAGAAAGCAGCTTAACCATCAACGATGCGATGCTCCTCCAATATCAGGAGAGTCCATCCGCAATCCCACTAACACCCACAGGCACACTTCACCCAAACTTCAACAAACCACGCTTCCGCAACCACATTGGCCCCGACCTTCATGCAGGTGACGGGCCACTCAATATCCGGACCTTTAGCTACCCCTCCACCCGGGCCTCCCATTGGTCGCCGGCGGCCGGCGCTTCGTAGCCCCACTTTCAGGGACCCGAGCCAGGACCAGGTAACAGGCCCGAACGGCCCGCTCCTTGCAAGGGACCCCGTCTTTCCATTTTTCTTTGTGGCAGTTTTCCCTCAACAGCCACCCGTTGCTTTCAGTTCCCCTTTGCGCGGCAAAACGCCGTTTCTGCGATCGAAACCAACCAGCTGGACCCTGACTGCCAGGTGGGCACCACGGCGCTCACATGAATTCCATGCGTCTCATCGTCTAGATGTCTGAGCGCCTCGTGTCACAATCAGGCGTCATTCTCGTTGCCTACCTCTCCGGCACACGTAGTTGAGAAAGAAGTTGTTATATACTGTCTTCATTGATTGGGTGTGGTCCTTTTGTAAATAATCTGAGGTGAGTGGCCTCCGCGGGGAGCTGGCTTATCCTTCTTTCCTCCCCTCCTCTCTCTCCTCCTCATCCTCCTCCCAGTCTCTTCTCTCTTCTCCTATGGTCTATACTACACTGTACACTTTTCTTAGTCATGTGAATAATACAATCGAGTAAAGCAATGAGGCTTTCTCCATAAACCAAACAAACATGGGCTGGTAACCTCATTTCCCCCCTCTCTTGAAGGTCGGGTCGACAAAGAAGCCAGAAACCCAGGAATAAAAACCTTTGTTAAACACCTGCCATGCAAGATCCTCCAACCCATTTTCGCTTTTCTATAAGTTCGCGTCTACACCCGCCAAGGCCAGCGCAAGGAGGCCCGGGATATGGTACAAGGACGAAGGACAAAGAGACATCGTGAGCTCAAGAGTCCTTCTTGGACTCGTCCTTCTTCTCGTCCGTCTTCTTATCCGTCGTTGCCGCACCGTCCTCACCAGGCTTCTGGTGAGCCGGGTGGTTCGTCAGGGTGTGCCACATGGACTTGAGGAAGCCCTCGTTCTTGTGAGTCTCGGAGTCATCGGGGGATGCCGGCTGGGTTCTACTTTCGGGAATTAGTATAAAAGGGCGTCGAGGTGTCTCCTAGGCTTAGGACAGTGTGAGGTAGAGAGGAAAGGAGAAGAAAGGCCGTTGTCGACTGGTTCGCTCGCTCGCCCGTGCCCTCGCGCAGGAAAAAGGACTCACCCCTGGGGAGTGACGTTCATAATCTTCCGCGCCGTCTTATCTCCCATCTCGTTCGCCAGCATCTCCACCAGCGTACGCTGGTTCGCGCTCAGGTACTTGGGCATGTTAACCCGGAACTCCACCTTGAGGTCACCGGAGCCGCCCCGTCTGCCGTTGAGCTTCTTCATGCCCATGCCCGACAGCGTCAGCTTGTCGCCCGTGTTGGTACCCGTCGCCACCTTGACGTTGACCTGCCCGTCGAGCGTCGGCACCGTGACCTCGCCGCCGAGCATCGCCGTCGTGATGGGGATGCTGGCCGTGTACAGGATATCCGACCCGGCGCGGCGGAACTTGGGATCCGTCGCGACGCGCACAAAGACGTAGAGGTCACCCTTTTGCGTCCGCATGCCCGCCTCGGCATTCTTACCCGTCACGGGCGCGTCGCCTGCGCCGTCGACGCGCAGCCGCATCCCGTCCTCGATACCCGCGGGAATATCGACCGTGATGGTCTTGCGCTCCCGCACGACGCCGTTGCCCGCGCACGACCTACACTCCGACCCGCGGGGGATCGTCGTGCCCGTGCCGCCGCAGCTGCCGCACGTCGACGCCATCTGGAACCCGCCGTTCATAAAGTGCACCCGCGTGCCCGTCCCGTTGCACGACTTGCACGCCGACCGCTTGGTGCCCTGCTTGAGTCCGCTGCCCGTACACGTCCCGCACTCCGTCAGGGGCGTCACCGTGATGGTCTTACTCGTGCCCTTGGCCGCCTCCATGAAGGATATGCTCGACTGCACCTCAATGTTGTCGCCCACCAGGATCTCCTGCTGGAAGGGGTTCCGTCCGCCTCCTCCGCCGCCGCCGCGGCGTCCGAATCCCTGGCCGCCCGTGAACGCGGAGAAGATGTCGTCAAAGTTGAAGCCGCCGGCGCCGCCGAAGCCCCCTTGCCCTCCGAACCCGCCGCCGAATGGGTTTCCTGCGCCTCCGAACGGGTCGCCGCCACCGCCGCTGGGGTCGAAGCCGGCAGCGCCGTACTGGTCGAATTGCTGCTTCTTCTTGGGGTCGGACAGGATTTCGTATGCGCTCTGGATCTCGCCAAACTTCTCTTTCGCTCCGGCATCTTTATTGGTGTCGGGATGGTATTTCTTCGCTAGGCCATAGTACGCCTTCTTGATGTCGCCCGCGGATGCTGATTTGTCAACACCCAGCGTTTTGTAGGGGTCGCTCGGGGCAAGGTTGGTGGATGTCGCATGGAATGCCTAAAGAGTAAACATTCAGCAAGCTGTGTAGACACCTTGGCAAGTAGTATTTACTTACACGCTTGGATGAGGGAGCTTGAGATGTCACCCGAGAAGCTAGAGGCTTCGTGGGTCTAAGGGTACAAGTGACGGTGTGGATTTGGGCGCGTATGCAGACCGAATCCTTGAGCTTGGATTGTCTAGAAATTCGGCTGGACAGCAGACGGCCCGGTGCCGCTGTCTTGGTAAGAATGCTTGCATTCATCGTGAAGCTTGTCAATTCATCTGAAGCGGTATGTCGTAGATTTTGGGGGGTTAAATTGGCCCGGGGATGCGAAAAAAGCATCAACGTCCAGGTGGAACTCTCCCGCAAATTCTTTGCCCTTCGATGCCATTGAAGACGGGATGATATCAACTTTTTTTTGGCCCGATGCTAAGCCGAAAGTCGGTGATTGCCTCAGGCACCTACAGCAACAAAGGCGCGGGTGAGTGCAGGGGGACCGGGGCTAATTTGGATACTAGGTACTAGGTAAAATGGGGGTAACTGCTGTGCTGCTGCACCTCAAGCTTCACGTCAGCAATTTGGGATGGCTTTAAGTGGCTCGCGAACAGGCCCCACAGCACGTAGGTGGAAATTCGCGGCTACTTCTGGGGGATGCGCGTTGTGCGTGCATGAAAGCCTTCTGGTGCGCCGGGACTCGGAGGAGCAGCCGGGGGTAAGTAAGGCGCCAGTGTCAAGACTAAATGCAGATTTCTGGATACTCTCCCGATCCAATACTCCAAATTCCATTACTGTAATAGATCATGACTATGTAAGAAGAATTAAAAAAAAATTGAGACAAAGATTCTTGCCTTTGTCGTCTATCGTCATGGGGGGTTTCCTGCCCACGGTGAGGTATCATTATGCAGTCCGAAATCGCCCCAACGGCCGGCGTGGCTCTATGCTCCGGTGACACAAAAGCACCCGTCAGCCAACTTCTTTCGATGCGTGTAATTCCCAAATAGTCGTCGTTCCGTCATTAAAGGTCTTCAAGCGTTGTGCGACTTCGAGTTCGCTCTTCTGTGGCGGTCGCCTTTGGTTATAGCCTGGCTCCTGACTTTGTGAATAAAGTCGACGATGACATCGTTTTCCTGTATGCCGACACCGTTGAAGTGTTTCCGCACCGTCATCGCTAGTTGCTCTTTGCTTTGCCTTCTGTTCTCCTTCTTTCGGGCCATCGTTGGGGAGTGTAGGCCAATGCCACCGGGTCGCGAAAGAACCAATTGACGGTACGAGCACGAGAAGGAAGTAGGAGTGTTGAGGTGGTGTTCGCGACGGTACGCATGGAGTGTGTCTCGCTCAAAGGTTTTCCATTGAATCTGGAAAAGACGAGGTTAGCCGGTAGTCATTCAAGGCTGGAATGCCTACGTGGGTATGGCGAGGTGGAAGTGGTGAGGTGTATTCTTACGCCAGGATTTTGAGTAGCCTCCTTGGCCGGAGTGGGAGCATCAGCAGAAGCGTTGGCGTTTGTGACTTCTCGCAATTGAGAGCCCGTCGAGCTAGCTACACGACGAAGCTTGCCATTTGAGTGACCACCAGTACCAGACGTGTGCTTCTCTTTAGTGTTTGTGTTCTCGGACTTTGTGTCGTCGTGAGCGACCTTGGAAGATTTGGGTGCCATGACAGTGGTAGGGATGAAATGAGGATTTGCCGAGGCTGACGTTGCTGGTTTGGTCCAGGTCGCAGGAACTGGAGAGAGGAGAAGAGAGAGAGAGGCGTGCCCAGGTATCACATCGTAGTCGGAAAAGAAGATTGGGGATAAAACGGTGTGGTGTGGTGAGGGGGGGAAGAGTGGAAGCGTGGATGCGTGGTGTGGACGAGAAGGGGATTTTTTCTCACGTCATGGCACCAAACAGCCGGCGGTGCCTCTGTTGGTTGCTGGTTGCCCAGGGCCTTGCCTGCCTTGAGGAGCGAGTTGCGGGGCGGCCACTGGCAGCCATGGCAGAATTCGGGGTCTGGCGCGAACTCTGAACAGCGAGCGCAGGACAGCTAGAGAGGCACGAGACAGGAAGCTGTGCCTGGAAAAGTTGGGCCCGTTGCTGGCGTCAATGTGGTGCGACATCGGTACGTACACAAAATCGCTGCTCGAAATGCGATCTCCGACATTCAGCCTGCTTACCTAAGGTATATACACATATCGGCTCCGGAGGAAATTTTCAGCTCCAGCCTAATTGGGATAGCGCGATGGTGGACCCTCCCTCAACATAACGGGAGTGGAGGTTCCATCGGCCCCTCACCTTTTTCCGCGCGCTCCAACTCCAGACGTCTACCCATTCCCGTTGTCCCTTTCATTGAGCAAACAGATCCTGCTGATTCAGGCTCGTGGAATCCAAACGCCCTTCACTAATGTCCAATCTCGAGGCAATATCAGCAGCTGCGGCCTGAACTATATGAATACTGGAAGCCATGCATGCCACCACCGGCGTACAAAACATGGACGTGAATTGACAAGTTGCCAGTCCAGGCAGAGGCAGTAAATCAAGCTTTCGATTGGGGAAGCTCCTGTCCGCCGCAAATCAGAATCACAGAATGCAGTATTTATTCAGCAGAGCTTGGAAATTAAGGCCGTTGTGCGCCCAGCGATTGACGTCTGCTTGTACGGGACAATCCCCTTTCACAAAATCAACCCCAATTTCCCCACATCGAGGGAGGCCGACTCTGGGCTGCACGAACATACCGGCCGCATCCCCGAGCACCAAGGGAGCTTCTCCTTCATTCTTGGCCTGTTGATTCGAGCCAGGGCATCTCAAGACCTCCAGGGCTCCCGACCATACAGATACCCGAGTCACAGTACGGCCCGCGAGATTTGCCTGTCAAGACTGTGTCTAGGTTTCTATCCCCCACGCTGTACGAAACACTAGGTGTGGCTGGCCCAGTAGCTCGGGCTACCATCTCGCACGTAATTGAATGTTTGCACGAGGGTCATCCCGCGTCGAGACGCAGGTGGACCAAGAGACCCCCAAACTTTCTTTCGACGCCAGACTTGGGAGCCCCACGACGTTCTATCTGCTCTATTCCTCAACTAATATCGAAATTAACTACGGAGTACGCAGGCCAGACAAGAGGAAATATCGTCTGCTTTGAGGTCTCGAAATTTCGTCGGGTCATTTGACTGACGCCATGGTCCTGCCAAAGGCCGCGAGAAGGGGGGCTGGCTACCCAAGCGATACAAGATCGGGCATCCTCATTCGAATGCGCATCAGCGTGCGGATTGGTCAGGTGTCAAACCTGTCCACAGCTTCAATCCGCAAGTACACTACATGCGCAAGTGGCACGCTTTCGATTAGAGACCTGAACCCTTACGACATTTTGCCCGCCGTAGACGCCACAAATATCTACCAATGATACTCACCCGGAAAGGAGAGTTGATGGCATTACCATACAAATCCTCCAAAAACCGCAACTCCGAGACCAACGCGAAAGCCATCAAGTTGCTGTCAGTCAGATATACTTCCGAACTGTAGCTTGCCAGGGACATCATTCAGCTGTTACCCTCACCCTTGAGGGCCCACGGCCAACTTGCGAAGGAGCCCTTGTCCCTGTCGAAGCTCACCGTGAGTGGAGTCGACTGTCTGTGGTTTTCCTCCAACAGGCGCTGACCGACGATCAGCTAAATATCCCTGCAACCACCTCCACTACAACTTTTCGCGAGTCGCCTCGGTCCTAGGCTGAAGAGAACAGCTTTAGATGACGGCTACGGAGTACTATCGACATCATCTAGTTGGCAACTTGAACACCAGATTTTCTTGGCCTCCCTTCTCTTCCGGAGATTCGAGTTTCCACGTCAGGTGGCATCATAACCTGCCTAGAGAGAGGCGATCCGAGATCTAGCTAGGTCGTCGTCATTTCGAACGAGTTGTTTGGCTGAGTAACTACCAGAGCGAACAGAAAAAGTGTCCTGCGCAGCTACAAAGCACTATTGGGGTGCAGGGTACCAGGGTAGCGAGTCCGAAGATCCATCGTTTCCGAGTTGAATAGCCATTCCCAACCAGTCACCACCAATCTGTTGACCGAAGCAATGCGACTTGAGCCCATTTGACTGCCGGCATCGATGGAAGACGGGCTTGGATAGCTGCCTACGAGCAAAAGTAGGTAGTGCCAGTGCCCCGACCAAGACGGTCGTGTGCTGCCTTTCCGATTTCAGGGTCTATACCAGATTGGGAACCCATTACGAGATGAGAAGAGCCAAGGTATTATGAGTGCATCAACGGGGATGGCCGACGTACCGACTGAGACTCCGGAAATACTCTTTTGAACGTATCCATCTGCTTCAGTATTTAGACTATGCCGACTTGGAAGATTCACCCACGCCCCACCCGAGAATGCGGCATTTGTTCCTGATGTGCCTCACGCATCTCAGCCTCAGAGCGTGGGGTTGATAACTGGCACAAGATCGACAACGACATGGCATTCGCCTTTGGGTGAAATCGAACGCGTATGATGGGCGGCTAGCTTGGAGTGCCACGGCATGGCCGTTTCCGAGCTTTGCCAGTGAGTGCTACAGCTTCGGTTTGACAGCGACAACTTAGACGCGATAGCCGGGCAGTTTGGTAGGTCTGGTGCGACCTGCCACGAAAATAATCACGTGTGAGATTAACGGTGACGGGTGATTGACAGGCAATTTGCAGCAAATTTGTGCTGGTTCTGTGGCGCGACTCTGCCTCTCTTCTGCGTCTTGCTCAACGCTCAGCGTGTCCTTCTCTCACATTGTCTTACTTTCTGTCAACACAACACCACCCTCGGGCGGAGCAATCTTGCAGCTCTCGGCACCAGTGACGCCGAGGCACCACAGAGCGGCAAAGGGCCATGAAGCAAATTACGTGGGCAATTACACTAATGAGAACGATCTCGGTGGGAATTTTGACAGTGGCGTCTGTGGGTAGCTAACCACCAAATAACGCACATTTTAGTTGGCAAAGGCTGGCAGCAATAAACCCCCCAAAAAAGAAGCTCGAGAAGTCTACAAGTAGGTGACACCGGCGGCCGATCCACGCCAACCATGTCGATAGGCCGGGGTATGGCGCCCCAGAAGAGTGAAGTCCACCGTCCAAGCTCCAGACCGTGCCCATCCCCACACGTCTCGTCTTCTTCAAGTGAGCTACGGAGGGGACTTGAGTCTCACACCGGCCATCCCTGCAGAAGCTAGCCACGCCAGTCACGGACGGCATGGGCATGCTTGTCGTAAGGCGAGCGAGGAGAACTCGGGGGATCTTTGGGGGTCTCTGGGCGGGGACCCTCTAGCTCGGAGGGACCAGTCTGTGTTTGCTGTGCTCATCCAGTTGATGGTCGTACGACGACAGAGGCCACCACTTGGAAATGTCATGAGAGCACCCTCACAGCTTGACTGACCCGCTCCGTTGCCTCGCTACTCGGAACCATGTGGAGCTATTGTGAGAGCAAAACGTCACTGATTCTATCTTCACCTTGGCTCAACATGACGGCTTGCCGACCGATATCCGTCGACCAAAAAGATGAGGCGAGCAATGTGGTGAATTGGGGGGTTCCTGACCCGATATACTTACGGTTTAGTCTTTTTTATTATCCACGCCAACCAGATCGATCTTGGCTCCCTAGAGAGAAAAAAAAAGCAGGTCAGAAGTGTCTGATTTCCTATCCGACGAAACGCATCCATGGATTGCAACCAGACCCAGCCGTGCCCGGTAGTCTTGAGCATGTTCAGTTGCATTTTCCTCGGCTACCACTATAGCGACGGCTATTGGAGCGGGATTTTGCGGCCAACCAGGTTTTTGGGCTCATTGCTCGTTATCTACCTCTCTCTCTCTCTCTCTCTCTCTCTCTCTCTCTCTCTCCGTGTACCTATACCGAGGAAACGTACGGGAGCATGGTGCGGCTGCCTCGGACGGATACCGCACGCTTTTTTCTTCCATGAGGGTAAATGACGAGGCGCAGGAACGCACATGCACAGGTGGTCACTTGTCAACTTTTTTTTTTGTCGGGTTCTCGCGAACGGTACCGAAGACCAGCCGGATCATGTATGCCCCCTTCTGCTTACACGGCCTGCTGCCCTTGTTCATGTTCCGATATTGCCCTGCAGCACACTTCCAGAGAGGGCCGTTCCCTCGGCGCATCTATCCTGCCAGAGGCGAGGTGCCATGGCAATTATTGCATGTACAGATATACGATAGTAGTAGTGCCTGGCCGCATCATCTTTCAAGTTTCCCCCTCCCCCCTCTCCGAGTGCACCCTCAAAGACCATTCTGTAGACTGTGCCAAGGAAGGGTCGCAAAAGGGGAGTCACCTAAAGTCAAGGAGCATTCCAACCGCAACATGCCATGTTCATTATTACTTACTTACATGTACTCTGTCACTACTAATGTACGGAGTACGGAACCACGGAGTTAGGTATACTACGAAGGAAGGCGCGCTAATGAAGGACCCCTCCCCAAATGGCGTGGCCCACCACACCTCTTTTGGCATGCTACGGCCCTACCGTGTATCCGTAGGTACTGCGGTATGTGTGCTCCTATGGGAGTGCACAGCTTAGTAGCTGCTTGGTCAATGGCATCTATCTGCGTTCTGCGCATCGCATCGCATCGCCGGCGTGCCTCACACCTTGACTACACCCTGGGTTCACCGATGGCCAGGTTTGTATGGAAAGGT